TTTAACCTTCATATTCATCAAAATTCTATTATGACACCAACCCCAAACCAACCTTTTTTGTGCAATCATACATCCGCCAAAAACATGATCAGGAGAGAAGGATATGTCGCCAAGGAGGAATCCTCAACAAAATGTCCAAGAACCTACTATGGAAAACATGCAATAAGAAATCCTCTAAGTGCAAAAGACGCTTACCACCTTTGAGAGAAGACAATCCAGTGTAGTCACCCATAATCATAACAACAGCTCACTAAATCCAGGAAAAGAAGTGAATCTCATCTATCAAAAAATTTTTAGTGACGAACAATCAATACCCAAATAATTTAACATGGAATAATAGAGAAGAAGCCAGGATCTTAGATTAAAGATAAATTTGTCATATTTTGATGGTTACATGGATTCATAAAAATTTATTGAGTGGCTCCATACAGTGAAATGAATTTTGGAGTATAAAAATTCCCTAGGATAAGAGAGTTAAAGTTGTAATTATCAGACTTTGGAAGAATGCTTATTGTGAAAGATCCTAAAAAGTAACATAAAATCACCATCTGATCTTAAGATAAAAGGTGGATACAACGTAAATACCATCTGTTGCTTTATCGACGAGAAAAGTTCATAACACTCTATCACCTATGCCTGAGAAATTCTTATATGGACTACAAAACTGGAATTGTTTAACTCATGTTTAAATGTTTGTTGGTAAAATCAAAGGAGCACATAGCAGTGAAGTATCTCGGAGGACTGAGGTCATTTATTAGTAATGTGATGCAGCTACTGTCGTATTGGTTTTTACTCAAAGGACATCCTTGATTTAATGGTAGAGAAATAGTTGTGTCACCAAAAGACTAGCACTCCTTACAAACATAGTTAAATCCCATAATCAGGCAGCAAGAGTGCACGCATTAGAGCATCTCAGCCGACCACACTCAAGAAAAAAAAACTAGCTCAAAGTGTAAAAAAAAATGGAAACAGCCAACACTCTCAAATCCATTCTGACCAAAAAATGCTTTGTGTCATGATTTTGGTCACATTACATCCGTTTGCCCAAATAAAAGGATGATCTCTTTTATTGAGCAATGAGCAGTTGAGAAAATATACTGTGATACTGGAGAGAATGAAGATGTTAATGAGGAGTATTAGCTTCCATCCGATGAGAGAAAAAGATGTAGATGATTTAAGTTGAGCCCATGAGAGAGACTTTAATAGAACTTACATTAGTTGTCATTAAAGTTGGTGAGTCTAAGGAGCCAATACTAGAAAAGGGTAGCCCTTATTGAGGGAGTTGGGAGTCATCAAATATTATGACTACAGTTTACCTCCTAGGTAGTTGATGTAGAGCATTGTAGGATTATTAGTATACATGGCCATCATATTTTGTATAAAGAAGAGTTAAGTGTAGTAATGACATATGATCAATCATAACCAAAAAATTATAAGAATTAAGTAAATGCTAAAACACATTCAAACTCATAAGCAAATGAAGTCAAATGTCTATTTACAAGAGCCAAACAAGAGTCCAAAAAATTGTAAAATCAAAGCCCAATCAAGACCCATCACAAGAGCACAATAAAAAATAAATATTTGAATGTACATTTTATTATTTAATTTTTAATTCGAGTTTTTAGACTATTTTAGTTTCAAAATTTGTAGGGTCGTATGAGCTAATCACTAAAATAAAAATAATAATAATACTGATTTGCACATATCAATTTTAATTTTGTGAGATCCATTAAATCATGTCGAATATCAGTTATGGCAGTTTACTCATCAGTAAAACTCAGTCAAAAAATTGGAGACCACATCAAATAAGCAAACCGAGGAATGGGACCAATACAATGTGAATCTCAATAGGGGTAGAGTAGACTCAATAGTTGAGTTGCACAAAGGATCTAGTCATAAGAGGAATAAGAGGTGGAAGGGGTAGCCAATCTCCATCAATTTTAATTTGATCTTTTCTTTTGGTTGGTCCTAAATTTAACTTCACAATTTGGTTTATGTGACATATATTGGAGATGTTTTCCCAATGGCTACATTAGAAAAATTTTAATGGTTTGTCTTTTCATTTAAAAATGCTTTTTCATGAGCATAGTTTATCACATCTATAGAATAAATCATTGATCCACCTAAGAAAATATGAGCAATATCTACAGGCAAGATATTGAATCATATTTTATCTTCGCAAATAACTACGGGGTTGTTTGATTTATTGAAAATGAATGCAGTGTAAAAAATATGTAGTGTAAAAGTAATGTATTGTATTTGAAATGCTTTGAAGTCGTGTCTGGGGGCAGCAGGCGACTGGTGGTGCCAGTCAGCAGTGGGTAGACAGTAAGCCAACAATGGCGGACACCGGTTGGTGGCGACAGCTATAGAGGCCACAGATCGCTACAACAGCAAGCGACGATAGGAGATGAAGCGTGGCGGTGGTAGATAGTGATAGCAGGCTACAGGCACTAACAGCGGCGACATGCAACGCTTTACACAGAGCAGTGTACTTGGAATTCACCCAAATCTAGCTATTTCCAAAAATATTGAAAAATGAACAGGAGAATGACTTCCAAATACATGTTAATTTTACATTGCTTTTGAATTCATCCAACCAAACACCTAAAATTTTGAAACTCTTGCAAAAAGAATGATTTGCACTTTGCACTCCTTTTGCAGCAAACCAAATAGACCCTAAATGGGGACAAAGAATCCAGCAGACATAGGCAGTGAAGTGTGGTAATCTTGACTAGAATGAAACAGATCAGAATGAGGCACAGGCTTAAGGTTAGTCCTTATTAGTGCATGAGTGGATGTAACATTCATAGCATTGTCACCATCAACAACTAATCTAAACATTTCTTTCATTATAAGTAGCATAC